TTTCGCGCATCTGCATCTTCTTTCTCTTTCTCTTCTCTGATCTTCTCTCTTCTAATCTTTCTCTTCTCTCTGCCTCTGCCCTGCTCTGCTTTTCATCTGTCCATATTGTCGGAAGTTTGACTTCTAAACTTCCTTCGATCATTAATTATCATTCATCATCATCTATCACCTGCTGTCACCAGCTGTCATCTTTCAAAATCTGACATGATTTGATGGTTCCCTTTGAATTTAACTGAGGATCCCGACATCCCTGTCTGGGGCGAGAAGCATTCCACGCTGCTGAGGCATTGAGCCTCTCCATTGACACCGCCCAACACATAGATCCTCAGCAGGGGGTGATCAGGGTTCCCATATCCATTTTGCCGTTGATTGCCGTTTCCAATATTGGAATGATCCCCATCCAACCAGCGAATAACCCAATAACAACCCTACATATACAATATATATATATGCAGATGTGTACAGTATACATGGTGAATCTCCACCATCTCTTCGATTTCAGAATATTTGACAGGTCTCCCCACATGCTGTTGGCTGCCACTGCAGCACAGCTCTCCCTGGATTCAGCCATGGGGGACACCGTCTCCCAGACCTCAGGACGGGGTGTGGAAATGTGGAAATGGCGATTACCTTCACATCTTCAACGCTACTTAGATCTACTTAGTACTTCAATGACACTTCAACTTGTGAACCCAGCCGTGCCACCTCCCTAAACCTCTCTTCTAAAGTTGGCCCAGCAAAACTACTACTTACTAAGACTTGCGCCATCTTGCGCCTTCTGAGGTGCCTACGCAGCTCTTGGAGTCGAATTTCTCCACAGAGCTTAGAGTCTCAGCCTCTCTGAAGTTGGCTTCGTCGACGGGGTGAATGCATTCAGGTAGTGTCTAATTAGTCTAACTAGTCTAACTAGTCTAACTAGTCTAACTCAACATAGTCCCGTCTGTGAAATGCATCTGATTTCCCAAAAATCCAAGTGACCCAATTTTTTATAGCTTTAAGAGAGCGCGTGAGCATCACAAGGTGGTCGTCCAGACAGGGAATGAGTCGCATGTGCAGCTGTTTTTAAATCTACCAACAGTAAACATCACACCATGAAACATACACTCTCAAATCAGCCAGCTTAGATCAAAGAGAAAACCATCATGTGAAGCCTAAAAGTGCAATGTAGTCAATGATTAGATATCTCCACCACGGTTTGCACAAGCTCAATAGACAGCTCCATAGACAGCTCCCTTCCAGAGGTCCAAACGCTAGAATCGGCCCCGCCAATGGCGTACACCTGGCAGCATTTGGATTGACTTCGTTCGCATGCCGCTGTTCTCGCGGGCAGAGAGGTTGTGGCTGGTCGTCACATTTCTGAAGTTAGTAACAACACTCTCTTGACGATACTCTGCAACAAGCAAACGCGGCAAGCCATCATTTTCCCTTCAATACTCATGAGCACCTGCGAAGGGAAGAGGGCTGGAAACTCTGAGAGCATGCTACCTGCAGCAAAGATTTTGCCAGCAAGATTCTGGTCACAGAGATGTGCCCCAATTCCAGTCCAAAATGTCCAGAGTGAAGATGCTGTATAAGCTGCGGAGAATTGCTGACATCTCAACCTCTCAAAATCGAATGTAGCATAGCTGAATTGAAGCTGACACTGTTGCCGCAGATGCAGGTAGCCACCACTACTAGGGATCCCTGCCCACACCACCACGCAGCGCACGGGAGGCAGCTGCCAGAGGTGCTACACTTGCAGCCTCAGGGGGACAACCAGTTGGTCTGAAAGCAAACACAAGTCATGGCAGGCTGCAAAATCATCCAAATTGAATTTGTCACTTATCATATTAATTCACCTTTCTATATACAGCCATCCTCTGGAAGATTTTCAATAAGCAAACTCATGGCTTGTCCACTCTATCAAAAAGCACGCTGGGGCTTCCAGACCCCTGCACCAGCAGCCGTGGCCAAGGCTAGCTCCTTGCTGTTGGAAAAACATCCCCACTCTACATTCATGGCGTTGTTGGACATATCCCTGCAAGGTCGTAATAGAAGTACGGGTCTAAATTAGAAGCCATGTGAATTTGGTGCTTCTAGGGATGTCACAAAAATAGACACAAACCAAATATGTACAACCAGCTTGCCTAATGGCCTCATGTGATACAATACATCCATATAGTACCCCAAGAGCTTAGAAGAGCTCCAGGAGCTTTGCCGTGGACACGTTCGACATATTCCTGCTGATGAAATATTCTGCACTCTTCTGAGACTCTTCTGAGACTCTTCTGTATTCTGGTTGCAAACTGATCCATCAAACAACTCGTGGCTTGTTGAAGTCACTTGCTCTTCCTTTCACCCAACGTCCCGGGCCACCCGGATCTGCACCACCGCATCAAGGCTGCCAGGCCATGGCCCTGGGTGTCGTTTGATGACCTGCCAAGGCAAGGAATCTGGCCCTGGCTTCGCATGTCCCTTTCCGATTCCACCTCCGCGAAGCGACGCCGGTGCAAGCTAGCCAAGAAGCGCACTGGCGCCAGCGCCCCGGATGCCTGGCGAAACAGGATCCCAACGAAAAACACGCCTTTGAAAGTCAACGGATGCAAACAGACTTACAAGTTTCCTATGAAAGCTACCACAGTTTGGTATTCTCGCTCACCACACGAAGCTTGAGCAATGTTCGGCTGGTGGCTCCAAAGTCACCGGCCTCCAAACACTCCCGGAGAGCCTCACCCTCTTCACGCAGCTGCACCTGCCTCAAGGGCTTTCGAAATGTTTTGAAGAGTCAAGCCCTTGAGGCAACCCTCCGTCAGCAACACAAGAGGCCACACAAACCAAACCTGAAAGAATGATAAAGCATGAGAAAGAATATATCATAATATATCGGACAAGTCTCCTTACACAAAATGCCTTCGAAGAAAAAACAACACAAACGCAAGCCTCGAGGCCTCGAGGCACTTTGCACAAGCTGCATGGACTTTTTTGCCACTCGACTCTGCGCAAAGTCGTCTCTGGCTTCGAACCAAGATACTATCTCAAGTTCACGCAGAGAAATTGGCGCAAACCTTTGAATACTGTAGCAAAGCCGATCAAAATTCCTGAGAACTAGACTTGAACACATACAAGATCATACAAGCAGGCCTCCAATCTGACTGCAATGGCTGCTGTGGGACATCTAATCTGATGATCGCTTGCAGTACTTGTTCTCCAACTTACGAATGCCTTAGTGAAAGACAAAAGGTTTGAAGTAGCTGGCGCGATTGGCTGTCAAATATGCACTGTCTTTGTCAAACATCTTCCATGTGTGACACATGTGCCCAGGCTGTAGATCTTCTGGGCGAAACCATAAAGTTGTGCAAATTGGAATGTAAATGATGCAAGTGCTGTCAACATAAAAGTAACAGTTTTTCTTTAAGCAGTATGAAAGGTGAGCGATTGTCACATTGCGCTGCCCTACTGGCATGGCTGGGGAAGCAGACTATAGACTGGTGCCGAGACACCGTCAATCACTTCGTCGATTGCTTCCATCAAGCTGCTCCCAAATTCGTGGGCGTTTAGCAACACCTTGCCATTGCCGCTTTTCCACTCATCCTGCGAGAGAAACCAAGATTTGAATGCTTGCTACGCCCTTCCAGGCAATTGCACTTGACACTTGTTGAAGTTCTTAAAATACGATACGCTATTGCTATTGCTATCTACAAGACCCTAGCAAATGATTGGATCCCTGAATGTATGCTCTTCCCTGAAGTCCTGCAAATTCATGAGACGCCGCAGTGTGAGTTGGTCTGTAATTCCAAGCGCTTCAAGATCTTCTTTTCCACTTAACACCTCAAGAAAGGCTCGGCCTGAGATGTTGTTCGTCAACAACACGGCTGCAGCCTCCCCAAGATCAAACTCAATGAGGACTTGGTCCAACATCTTTGCATTCCAGCAAGCTGCGTCCAAACTGCTGGCTTGATAGTTTGGAAGCTGGTTTTTCAGATGCTCAATCTTGTGTGGCACGCTTGAAGACGCTGAATGTCATCCTGGATAGTCTTGAGATGGTTCCCCATCTGCTGCCCCATGCTTCTGATCTGCCGCACTTCGGACAAGTTTTCTTTTTTTTCAATCTGGATCTGATCAAAATCCGAGCGGAGACCCAGAGATAAGAACTTTGTGGACAGAGTTGCAACTGCAAATCCGAATGCCCCAAAAAAAAGCGAAGCAAGACCCGGCCGGTGTTTCATCGAAACAGAAGTGGCAAAGGAAACACAAATGCTTCCAGACAGAACCAGATCAGGAGGTGCAACGATGACTTTGAGGGGCGTGTACACATACTTGATGTATTTCGTGATGTTGTATGTGCGACATAGGTTGGCTTCCTGTTCATGCATGCATTGGTCGTATCCTCCTTCAGTCTTCCTGAATTCTTCCTCACATTCCTGGACCATGTTCAGCAAATCATTCATTTTTTCACCAAAGATATGCGTCTGGATTTGGGAAATTCCGTTCTGCGCATTCTTCACATCATCATCTTTAAGTCCAGAACGTTCGATGATATCAACAACACGTTTGCCCTCCACGGCGCGGACCTGTTGGACATCAGCCAACAAACTCTGAAGCCTTGCAGGAAGAGAGGTCTTCAAATGCAGAACTGAAGCCAGGCTCTTGCCCACCACATTCCTTGGCATATCACAACTACCAATATTTGACAAAGGCAAGCGATGTTCCAAGTGCGCGTAAAACTCACTGGGGAAGCAATCAATGAATTTCACCACAACCTGCCAAGTTGCTCAATCTTGTTGGCCAACGTGACATTGGAGGGCTCAAGCCCATGGTGTAGTTTCTCGACAAAATCCCTGGCGCGCCGAACCTCTTCGATGTTGTAGACTCCCTGCTGCAAGCTGTCGTTCTTTGGCACATCTCGTGCCACAACCTTGCAATCAATCTTGGGCCAACTACTACTTTCCATATTATGCGGAACAAGGTGAACTAACTAATTACATTGAATTACCCTCAAAATGGAGAAGACGCTGTAAATCGCTTCAATACTATCACACTCACGCACCCCTAGGACAGGTTTCCAACAGAAACGTTTCCCTATAGATTTTCAGTAAGTCGTTTGATCAGAATCATGACAACGAAAATGTTTCCCTATATATAGTAAATGGATGGGAACAGACGGGAAGAAAGAGGCCAAAAAGAACTGGGCATTTCTTGGTTGACAGGTTTGGTGGCTACAGTTTTTTCATGATTGACCGATTTATTTCGGATTGAGCCGATCAAAGAATGCGTCAGCAAATGACTCCATGACTGTGATTGCGTATATACATCATGCAAAAACAAATCGCGGAACCAATCCGCCGACCCCGGCAGACGCAAGGGGGAGCGCGCCAGGGAATAATACTTTTGACCCTTGTTTCGGACTACTACCACCTCCACTACCATGGTGTTTTCCCATTCGGCAGCTGTCTTTTGAACAGAAGGAGCAGCAGCAGCAGCAACAGCAGCAGCAGCAACCAGCAGCAGCTGGACTGGATGGTGTTTTCCCATCTGGCAACTGTTTTTTGGAGTGCGTGTCTGTCGAAAAATCCGCCGACCCCGGCTGCGCAAGGGGGAGCGCGCCAGGGAATAAGACAAAAGTTTGCCACCGCCAGCTACTACTACTACTACTACTACTACTACTACTACTACTACTGCAGAAAACAGCAGAAGTCAAACTACAGAAGTCAAACTACAGAAGTCATAGCTTTCTAGTATGATTTCCGAAGGGACGTTCCGGCCTCCGGGGAGCTGTGGTTTTGCGCGGTCTTTCCTCGCCCAAGAACCGCGTTTTGGAGCGGGACAAGTAGCTCAGAAATCTCCTCATTTTCTATGGGTTTCAGAAGTTACGTTAGGCACTTTTTCGCCGCCTTTTTTGCGCCTTCTCCGTCCTTCACTGCCATGGTGTTTCCCCGTCCGGGGGCTGTGGTTTTGCGCGGTCTTTCCTCGCCCAAGAACCGCGTTTTGGAGCGGGACAAGTAGCTCAGAAATCTCCTCATTTTCTATGGGTTTCAGAAGTTACGTTAGGCACTTTTTCGCCGCCTTTTTTGCGCCTTCTCCGTCCTTCACTGCCATGGTGTTTCCCTGTCCGGGGGCTGTGGTTTTGCGCGGTCTTTCCTCGCCCAAGAACCGCGTTTTGGAGCGGGACAAGTAGCTCAGAAATCTCCTCATTTTCTATGGGTTTCAGAAGTTACGTTAGGCACTTTTTCGCCGCCTTTTTTGCGCCTTCTCCGTCCTTCACTGCCATGGTGTTTCCCCGTCCGGGGGCTGTGGTTTTGCGCGGTCTTTCCTCGCCCAAGAACCGCGTTTTGGAGCGGGACAAGTAGCTCAGAAATCTCCTCATTTTCTATGGGTTTCAGAAGTTACGTTAGGCACTTTTTCGCCGCCTTTTTTCCGCCTTCTCCGTCCTCACTGCCATGGTTTGCCCCGTCGGGGCTGTGGTTTTGACGGTCTTTCCCGCCCAAGAACCGCGTTTTGGAGCCGGACAAGTAGCCAGAAATCTCCTTATTTTCTGATGGTTTCAGAGTTACGTTAGGCACTTTTCGCCGCCTTTTTTGCGCCTTCTCCGTCCTTCACTGCCATGGTGTTTCCCCGTCCGGGGGCTGTGGTTTTGCGCGGTCTTTCCTCGCCCAAGAACCGCGTTTTGGAGCGGGACAAGTAGCTCAGAAATCTCCTCATTTTCTATGGGTTTCAGAAGTTACGTTAGGCACTTTTTCGCCGCCTTTTTTGCGCCTTCGCCGTCCTTCACTGCCATGGTGTTTCCCTGTCCGGGGGCTGTGGTTTTGCGCGGTCTTTCCTCGCCCAAGAACCGCGTTTTGGAGCGGGACAAGTAGCTCAGAAATCTCCTCATTTTCTATGGGTTTCAGAAGTTACGTTAGGCACTTTTTCGCTGCCTTTTTTGCGCCTTCTCCGTCCTTCACTGCCATGGTGTTTCCCCGTCCGGGGGCTGTGGTTTTGCGCGGTCTTTCCTCGCCCAAGAACCGCGTTTTGGAGCGGGACAAGTAGCTCCGAAATCTCCTCATTTTCTCTGGGTTTCAGAAGTTACGTTAGGCACTTTTTCGCCGCCTTTTTTGCGCCTTCTCCGTCCTTCACTGCCATGGTGTTTCCCCGTCCGGGGGCTGTGGTTTTGCGCGGTCTTTCCTCGCCCAAGAACCGCGTTTTGGAGCGGGACAAGTAGCTCAGAAATCTCCTTATTTTCTATGGGTTTCAGAAGTTACGTTAGGCACTTTTTCGCCGCCTTTTTTGCGCCTTCTCCGTCCTTCACTGCCATGGTGTTTCCCTGTCCAGAAGAAAACGTTGCTGACAAAAGGTTGCGACAGACGGGTTCACTCCGATCTAAGTTGCCATTCTGTTCGAGGGCACGTGCGACCGTTTGCTTGCTTGTGCTTGCTTCGGATGCGTCCTGTTTTTTTGGTGCTGTGAATGAAGATCCACACGTCGGGCAAGTGTGCACATAGCGCTGTGTGGGGCGAACGAAACCATTTTCGACACGGAACTGTTTCCCACAAATGCGACGATGGTTAATCTGTCCAGTAGCAACAAACGATGTCACAACGCCTTTGCAGAAAGGACAAGGACAGGTGTATACGTACTCCGCTTGGGTTGTAGTTGTTTTTTTCCATTGCTCGTCTCGGAGAGGACAGAAGACGCCAGGTCAGCAGCGCGCATGTCGAAAGGATTGGACTGATCAAGTGTGCGAGAGTTTGCCACCGCCAGCTACTACTACTACTACAACAACAACAGCAGAAAACAGCAGAAGTCAAACTACAGAAGTCATAGCTTTCTAGTAGGATTTCAGAAGGGACGTTCCGGCCTCCGGGGAGCTGTGGTTTTGCGCGGTCTTTCCTCGCCCAAGAACCGCGTTTTGGAGCGGGACAAGTAGCTCAGAAATCTCCTCATTTTCTATGGGTTTCAGAAGTTACGTTAGGCACTTTTTCGCCGCCTTTTTTGCGCCTTCTCCGTCCTTCACTGCCATGGTGTTTCCCCGTCCGGGGGCTGTGGTTTTGCGCGGTCTTTCCTCGCCCAAGAAACGCGTTTTGGAGCGGGACAAGTAGCTCAGAAATCTCCTCATTTTCTATGGATTTCAGAAGTTACGTTAGGCACTTTTTCGCCGCCTTTTTTGCGCCTTCTCCGTCCTTCACTGCCATGGTGTTTCCCCGTCCGGGGGCTGTGGTTTTGCGCGGTCTTTCCTCGCCCAAGAACCGCGTTTTGGAGCGGGACAAGTAGCTCAGAAATCTCATTTTCTATGGGTTTCAGAAGTTACGTTAGGCACTTTTTCGCCGCCTTTTTTGCGCCTTCTCCGTCCTTCACTGCCATGGTGTTTCCCCGTCCGGGGGCTGTGGTTTTGCGCGGTCTTTCCTCGCCCAAGAACCGCGTTTTGGAGCGGGACAAGTAGCTCCGAAATCTCCTCATTTTCTATGGGTTTCAGAAGTTACGTTAGGCACTTTTTCGCCGCCTTTTTTGCGCCTTCTCCGTCCTTCACTGCCATGGTGTTTCCCCGTCCGGGGGCTGTGGTTTTGCGCGGTCTTTCCTCGCCCAAGAACCGCGTTTTGGAGCGGGACAAGTAGCTCCGAAATCTCCTCATTTTCTATGGGTTTCAGAAGTTACGTTAGTCACTTTTTCGCCGCCTTTTTTGCGTCTTCTCCGTCCTTCACTGCCATGGTGTTTCCCCGTCCGGGGGCTGTGGTTTTGCGCGGTCTTTCCTCGCCCAAGAAACGCGTTTTGGAGCGGGACAAGTAGCTCAGAAATCTCCTCATTTTCTATGGGTTTCAGAAGTTACGTTAGGCACTTTTTCGCCGCCTTTTTTGCGCCTTCTCCGTCCTTCACTGCCATGGTGTTTCCCCGTCCGGGGGCTGTGGTTTTGCGCGGTCTTTCCTCGCCCAAGAACCGCGTTTTGGAGCGGGACAAGTAGCTCCGAAATCTCCTCATTTTCTCTGGGTTTCAGAAGTTACGTTAGGCACTTTTTCGCCGCCTTTTTTGCGCCTTCTCCGTCCTTCACTGCCATGGTGTTTCCCCGTCCGGGGGCTGTGGTTTTGCGCGGTCTTTCCTCGCCCAAGAACTGCGTTTTGGAGCGGGACAAGTAGCTCCGAAATCTCCTCATTTTCTATGGGTTTCAGAAGTTACGTTAGGCACTTTTTCGCCGCCTTTTTTGTGCCTTCTCCGTCCTTCACTGCCAAACTACTTGTTTCAACCGAAAATCTTGTCAAGGTTTTCAAACATTCATGTGGGTAGTTTCTTTAGAGTTTCATTTAGGATTTCATTCATGAAGGGTCAAAAAAACACGGAAAACAAGGTGGAGGATCCAAAAAAACAAGGTCCCCGTATACTTTGATAAACTATCATGCACCTGTGCGGCGCAACCATGCACCTGTGCGGCGCAACACTAGCTGCATAATAATAGGGCCAAAACTATCGTATAGATATATATATATATTATCTAACTATTGTACAGTTACTTAGATCCGTGAACCCATAAAACCATAGGATCATAATATCAACATGCACCCAAATGAAAAACCCATTTACAAATGAAAATTCAAACCTATCAAATATAGTTCACAACAATATACATAGGAAAAAGATCGAAAGCCTCAGAATTTAGTTTGCTTCCTTGCCGATTCTTCCGGGGTCGGCGGCAGGGGCAGCAGCCCTTAAATTCGGCTCCGCCGGCTCCACACGAGTACGCTGACAAATGCGTCGACCGTCCCAGAGCGACTAGAGCTCTATGGTGAGGCGCGCCCCAAGCCGCCGACCCTCCGACGCCGGGCTCCGAAAAACACCAAAAATCCTTCAGGAGGGTGGGGGAGAGCTTTTTGGACGGAATCCGGGTCGCTCATAAGCGTCTCCAAGAGCAAAATCCCGCCCCCCCCCGTTTGGAGGGTACCTAAAATCGGA